ATTTTTTGTTAAGAGGTTTGTTTTGGTTTTGAACCTCTGCGCTATTATGTATTGAAGTGTTGAGGGACTCAAAATTGCTTGCATGGTGGGACATGTGGTTTTTCTGATTTCTGTCCAGATATGTCTGTCCAGCCCTGTCAATTTGCACTTTCATAATGAAATGCAATGCACAATTACATGGAAATAAGAGCAGAGGACTTTGAAAGTTGTTTAGTAGTAAGTGTAGTAGTGATATGATCCAGGACAGTATGTTTGTGTGTGTGTGTTTGAGTTTTTTTTGTTAGTGTTCTTTTTTGTTTGTTTGTTTTTTGTTTAAATTGTTTTAGAGTTGTGACTCTCTTAGGCACTACTCCTTCAAAATCTCTGATGATACAGACCCTGCATTCATGGTCAAAGCTTTACTTTGGCAAGGGATTCTTCTCCAGGACCAGTGTGAAAACAGCTCTGTCATGTCATGTCTCTGTCCTTGTCCCACCACACCCAGTGTCAGTGTCAGAAGCATGGTGTAAATTTGTGGCACCACGTCAGTGTGCACTTTCATTTTCTATTTTTAAACAGAGAAATTTTAAAAATTACAGTCACTGCTAGAAGTTCACTCTTCAGTACTTTGGGAGGTTTATTTTAAGTGGTAGTAGCTGAATTCTGTGAGTGATGGAGCAATACTAGCATGCGACACTGGGAAGAAAGGCCCTTGACATGTGTAAGCTCCTGTGTTTAGGAAAAGGAGTCTCGCATACCTGGCCTTCCCCTATGTTTCAGAAAATCTAATGATTCAAAAAACTGTTTTTTTTTAGCATCCTGTAATTTCAAAGGGAGATAATTTAACCAAGATGACCTGCTTGGTTTCATTATCCAGAATACTAGGGGCTTTAGACATTTTTTTAATTAGTTTGTTTTTTGAACCCTTCATTTGATAATACAGTGTACTAATTACTTTTTAAAAGGCAAGCGGAGCAGAATGAAAAAGCTGTAACAGTTGATGAATATCTGAGCACCCTGGAATACATCTCACTGACCAGACTTGACAGGGCTCCCCTGCTTTCTATTATTTTAAAATCCTTTTTTTTTTTTTTTTTTTAAATTGTGACCTAGAATTTCCAACGCAAGAAGAAAGGGAATAGCACAGATATCTCTGAAGTGTTTGTCTGCCGCATTCTTATCTTTAAACAGCTCCTTTGAAGGAGCCTGTATGCCCTTTGCCGGAGGCATAATTAGTATCTTTCAGCAGCATGCGTAGATATGAGTGTGTCGTCTCCATGCAGTTGTACAACAACTTTCACTTTTACTGTATTTTCTGCCTATGATCAAATTTTTCTTAATACCTTCTGTTACAGTGTATTTAAGTTACCTTTACTTTCCATAGTTATTTACAGGTTAAAAATATTGCGAGTGGAATAATATAGGGCTAAAGGGGGAAAAAGAAAAAACTCCCTGTGAGCAATGGATCCTTGGCAAATGGTGATAACAGGAAGGCTATGATTAGGAGCCTACATTTTTAAGAAGTTTTCCCATGATCAATTTTCTAATTAAGTTGGGCCTTTGGGAGTTACGTGCTAGAGAATTTTAGGGATTCCTAAATAAAGATGGTTTAATTGAGATCTCACAAATCAAGTTTTCAGGCTCTTCTAACAACTGTTCTGCAAAACACGTTACTGTTTGTTTTGTTTGAGTACTGCAATGACTTAATGATATGATGATTTTGTACAACTGGGCAAAACCAAAATAGAAAAATCTCACTGTAGCACATTTGTTCAAACTTCGATAACTTCTAAATCTCAGTGACACAGTTCTCTTGCAGTTTGCCCTTAAACAGGCTTTTTGTTTTAAACACCTGGTTTGGTTGGTGGGCTTGGGGGCCTTTCATCCCAGTCATCTCCTGTGCGGCTTAATAGGAGGTATTGTATTGCCTGTGCCAGTAGATACCTACAGAGATCTTCCATTACAACAGGAGAGGCCCCCAAAACAAAACCTCGGGAGCTCTTAATTTTGGGCATGTTAGAAAATGACCATTAATTTGCATAGCTTTTAACAAGGCAGAAGGTATGCTTGCTTGGTAATTCAGTGTCAGTAGGTACACTGGCCTTCATGAGAGTCAGCGATGGTATCGATCACACTCTTGAAGTCCCAACCTTCCAATGGAGCACGTTGCCACCATGGAGACATGCTCGTCACATCAGACTAAGCATGTTAAATAGAACATCAACTTGATTAGGCTGGAAGCAAAGCAATGAAATGCTGACACCATTCAAAAATGTAAGCTGCTTTGCAGTCTAATTTAGTTTTTATAATTCCAAAATAATACCAAAACACAAAGATTTATCATAATTTATTTAAAATACTGGAGTATGATTTTTTATCAATTTTGTTCTTAAATAATTTGATGTCTGAGACTGAAATTTTAGAATGGGTTGAAAACACAAGAATAGACTTTGGTGTGTAGAATCTTAAG